AGTTGAAACCAAGCAGAGGTGCAGATGGAGGGGAGAGATGTGGAGCTGATGTTCTCTAAAATTGAATAGATGTGAAGAAAATGGTCACATTCTCTTTTCTCTGATTTTGAAAGTTTCATGAGAAAAGAAAGTTTAATGGAAAAGAGAAGGAAGAAAAGGTACCAAAAAAGTTAAAGGAAAGAAAAATTAAATCCAGAAAAAAAGGCCAAAAATAAAACGCTAAGAAGACTAGAGAAAATACATGTGTGTATGCATGTATGTGTGTGTGTGTGTGTATGTGTGTGTATTTTGGGTCTTTACAGTGTAGTTTTTTTTTTCTATGCTTTAAGTGCTGGAAGTTCCCAGATAGAACATTGTATTAATTTAAATATCAGTACAAAAATGCATTTTAAAGCCAAATGGGAATGATTTTGGATCAGCTACAATTTAGAATACATGCTGTATTATAGAGATCCTCTAATAATGTCAGTGAAGCAAGAGTTGACTGTCATCTAGTTTTTAACAAAAACAAATTACATTCACATGTTACATATAGACAGAAACCATCTTTTCATGTCCAAGTACGTAATCCAGTCTTCTAATGGCAAGGCAAAAGCATATTTCTTTGAGGACACAAACATTTTAATCAGAAGTTCAGTACACACAACCTGATGTAATAGGGGCTTAGGGGCACAAATACCAGGAGGCTTTCCTTAAAACTCATATTGAATAATAATTCAGACTTCTACAGCACCTGTGAAGATGTACAAAGCACTTTCCTCACAACAATTGGGGGAGGTGGGTAGTAAAGGTATTTTTCTCACTTTGTAGATAAAAACAAAACAAAACTAAGGCACACACGGGTAAAGGATCTCATTCAAGGTCACACAGCTAGTATTTGGGATGGGAACTATGGTTCAGTGAAAAAAAAAAAGCATTGGTTTTGGAGTAAGAGGACCTAGTTGTGATGGTACTTCTGGGATTGTCCACCTGTATGACCCTGGGCAAATCAACCTCCCTGGACTTTAGTTTCTACATTTGTAAATTGAGGGGATTAAACTTAAATGATTTTGACATCCCTTCTAGTTCTAAATTAGTTCCAAGTAGCACCTACCTCACAGGTTTGTTGTGAGGATCAAATGAGATAATATCTGGAAGGGACTTTGCAAACTTTAAGGTGCTACATAAATGTTAGAAATTGTTAGAGTTATTTGCAGTTATACTATCCTGTCTCCTTGATAAGGAAAGGTATACTTAAGGAAAGAATGGCTTCTATATTTATTTTTTTCCTGTCTCCTTCAGCACTTTAATAATGAGGATTACTTCAATATAGCAAGAGGCAACATTTTGTTGTTGCTGTTCATTTAGTCACGTCCAACTCTTCATGACCTCGTGGACCATAGCATGCCAGGCCCTTCTATCTTCTACTATCTCTTCAAGTCTGTCCATGTTCACATTCGTTGTTTCCATGACACTATCTATCCATCTCATCCTCCACTGTCCCTTTTTCATTTTGCCTTCAGTCTTTCCCAACATCAGGGTCTTTTTCCACTGAGTACCATCTTCTCATTATGTAGCCAAAGTATTTAAGCTTCACTTTCATATTTTACCTTCCAGTGAATAGTATGAATTAATTTCTTTAAGTATTGACTAATTTGATCTCCTTGCTGTCCAAGAGACTTTCAAAAGTCTTCTCCAGCACTACAACTCAAAGATGCAATATGGCATGATGGAAAAGTCATTGGATTTGGCATCAAGAAGTCCCGGGCTTGTGTCTTGGTACTGCTACTTATCAGCTATGTTATTTTTTTTTCAAATGTGTAATGTCTTTGAAGACAAGGACTATTTTAGTTTTTCTTTATATCTCCAGTGCTTCTCATGGTTAATTATACATAATAGGCACTTAATACACTTAATAAATACTCATTTGTTTGAGTGATTGATTGATTGATTGAAGATCTCAAAGTTCAAGAACTTTGTTCAAATCCCATAGTGTTTTGAATGTTTATATGTGTGTGTATATACGTGTGTATATATATATACACATACATATAAATATGTATATATGTGTATATATGTATATATGTATGTATGTATGTATACACACAAATTTTATATATGTATATATATCAGTCTGCAGGTGATTAATTTTTTTAGACTTAAAAGAAAACTTTTGATCTTTTAAACCTAAAATCTTTATTTTTAAAACCTAAAAATAAATATTTACATATACAATTGATCTATAAGATATGTTTTTATCTTATCCCATCCCTTCTCTGGGAAGTTTTCTCAAGATGTAGTCAAAGAAAACTACCCCTCCTCCCTTTTGACATCCTAGCCAGTTGTTTAAATGCTCAGTTGTGAGTAACTGGTAAAATAGCTTTGAATAGCTAGATAAACAGTCCATGCTCAGCTTAAAGTAATCTTACACTAAGGGGGTGAGGGGCACAGGAAATTTACACTTTGTCATTTGGACTTGGGTTTGAAAATGAACCTGGGCTTCATTCCAGCTCAAAAAACCGTTTACTTCAAAAGACTCCTAAATTGTCCCAAGGAGCTCATTTTGGCAGTGGATTATTTGTGTTTGGCTGGGCATCCTAATAGTAAAAGCTGCTCTGGCAAATGAGGGCTTCAGCAGTGTTTAGATTTACCATTTCTAGGTTTTTTTTCCCTCTCTCCTGATGAAGTTATTTTTCAGAAAAGCTAGTTGTTATTGTTGGTGGTTTGGTTTTTTTTTGGCCAGAGAGAGAGAGAGAGACAGAGAAAGAGAGAGAGAGAAAATTCTATTTACAAGCAAGACAATACAAACACAGGACAGATTGTTTCATTGCTGTTAGTGAACACACATCATCATATCACAATGACCTGCATTTCTATGAGAATCAAATTTTAAGCACATGGTGATCACTGCAAGCTTTCCTGAAACTAGAATAACCCTTGTGGCATATCCCCCTCTTCTCACATCAAATATCAATTGGATTGATTCACTGTGGGAGAGGACTATTTTCCCTGGGCAAGAAAATAGGAATTCAAACTGAAAAAAAATAGTATCAAGGACAGTAAAGGATTTCTGGACAGGTATGAGCTGTAGACTATAGCATTATCTGTAGACTACAGCATAAACATGAAACCAAACAATAGAGATAACATATGTATGGAAATAAGCGACACTACCACCCTTCTCTACCATCACATTTTTGGGATATTTTAACAGGAAAAAAGAGCATGCTGGCCTTCTTAACTTTGAGGACTAAAGGACTAAACATGAAAGTACCTTTGTATCCTTAAAAGGAAATAGAAGATCCATGGAAATGGGTATTTTAAAATGAAGATTCATTTTAAAACTGATTAAGTTGAATATTGTTATTATGTATATTAGAAGGTGAGAAGTAGCATCGTTTAATGGACAGGGGATCTCATTAACCACAGGAGAGCCTGGGTGTGAGTCCCAATGACCCCTGATGAAACATGAGATTATAGGACTGAACCTCCCACTACCCCGAAGCAGCAGTCTAAGTTAGATTAGAGTTGATGATCAGCATTAAGGGAGGGAATTTTCAAACAGGAAGTTTCCAATACAGAACAAATCATAGTTATGGTTCCAAATATTAGAGAGTTCAGTGCTACAACATAGTAAAGTACTCTGAGCACCTCCATGTTTTGTACCTTTTGGATTTCCTAGTTGATGCCAAAGTGATTTCCAACGTATTTCTGCAGTAAAAAAATTCAGCCATATCTAAGGCCTGCTCATAACTAAGATTATATAACAGAGGTGTAGGGACTGGATCTGTAATTTCATTGTCATGGGTAAGTCCCAGGAGAGGAATCTCTACCAACACAAGTCAGCACCTTCTCTGCAGTTTACAGCCGTAGAGAGTTGCTTAGGGCACTGAGGTTAAGTGACCTGCATAGGGAGTCCCAGAGCCAATACGTGTCAAAGGCAAGCCTTGAACCCAGACTTCCTGGCTTCAGAGCTGACTCTCCACTCTGTCACACAATGTATCAGTGCAATAGTTGAGAAAATATTCAAAGAAAATATTCCCAAAGGAAAATGTTTATGACATATTCTTAATCATAATACCAGTTGGATAAAAAAAAAAGTAAACTACATAAACAAAATTGGGAAAGAATTGGAAATGCTCAAGACTGGTCAACAATGTACTACTGTAGTCTAGAAACATTGAATATCATTGAGGATATAGCAACTAGGAAGCTTGACGTAATCTTTGGAATGTACTCAGGGCTGCTTAGACCCAGAAAGGTATGCAGCCAATGAAGGAGGGTTAGAAGATAGCCACAAAGATCATTTAAAATGGCTGGAAAATAATGTCCTTTGATACATGGTACTTTGTGGGTTCTCCCTCCCCACCCTCCACCCCAAACCCACTCCCTCTTCCATCATTCAACTGTTACGGCTTTCTCCTATAAGGTTACCTTGTATCTACTTTACATAAATTTTATATAGACCTATATATGTTCATGTCAACTTCCCCATTAGAATATAAGCTCCTTGAAGGCAGGGTCTTGTTAATTAGCTAATTGAAAAAGAAAAGTCACACACAAAACATTTATAGAGAAATATAGAAACATGTCCTCATCTTGAATGGAAGTGTATCCCATCTTGGATCATCATTCCTGCAAATATAGATATGATACTAATGGCCCTATTCTATATCCTAGTTCTTTGTCTTGCCTCCTCCAATAGACTGTAGGTCCCTTGAGGGGAGAAACACTGTTTTGTACATCTTTGTATCATCACAAAATTTAACATAGTGCCTTGTACATTGTAGATATTCTTAATTTTTTATTGAATTAATAAATGGATTATTTCCTTGCTTTCAGTCAATGACTTTCTGATCTTAAAATATTTAATTGCTATCCATTAGCAAGCAGGATTATAATTTTGAAATCAAAATTAATTTGGGTCTTTATGCCTTTTCATTGTAATCTAAACATATTTAGATAGCATAAATATGTCTACCTACTTTAAACCTTTTTTTTTCTCTTTTTTTTCCTCCTAGAACTTCCAGACAGTGTTTCCACCATGTGTTCTCTTTGACAAGTATGGAAAAGTATATTCAAGAGCTGGAGAGATAGTGTAAGGGTGTGTATTTCTACATGAAGAACTTTTCAAAATGTAATAAATTCACAAAGTCACAAATAAAGTTGATTGATCTACTATGCATTTTAAAAGCCATTTCATCATCACATTCTTATGTAAAAAAAAAAACCAAAAACAAAAACTTCTAGACTTCTTAGAATCTAACCTAGTGGAGGCATGCATTTTTTTTTCCAGACTATCTACTGACAGAATGTACTCACCTATAATTACATGGACCTCACAATACTTTAAATTAGGTGTAGAACTGGAACAAAGTTGAAGGCACTAATCCATCCTTCATCCTAAGGGAGGGAAGATATGAGGTAATATAGTTTATAAAATATAATGGAAAATAATGATGGTGGTTCACACAATAAAATCAGTCAAATTAAATTTTTGAGTGTTGAACACTGCACTAAGGACTTAGGAAGAATTCCAAAGAAATCAAAGCTATGTTTCTTTTTAGTGACTACAGTCTGGGTAGGGATACCAAAGATAACCCACATGCAACTACTTTTAAATACTTATAATACAAAATGTTAGTAGATAGAAAATTATGTAGTTAAGAAGAGCTACTGGATAGACAAATGATCATAGAATGAAATTGGCTTAATTAGAGAAAATTTCCTAACATGGTTTTGTTCCAGGTTTTAGAGATGATAGAGAAAGAGTGTAGGGAACATTGTGTATGGAGAGAATGGCACCTAACGATGTGGAGGCAGATAGAAAAAAGTAATTTGACTTGGAAGCCTCCTGTTGAATCCTTCAGAACCCCTGGATGTGTTAGCTTCATGAAGGATAAAACCTCCACTATGCTGAGGGAAGTTAGTTATTACCATTTCTTCTGGATACAGTCTACTCTTGGTAGCACAAAGACTCATAATGTGCTATTCATGGGAAAATTCATCCGCATTTATTCTTTTTAACCAATAGTATCTGATAGACCCAACAAATATTTCCTTTATTCATGTAATGTTGGATTTTGACCAAAATTCTTTGAGATTTGTAGCACAGGAAAGCTGATGCTGAAAATGTTGAGGAGAGCTGTTTCCTTGTGCTGATGCAGTGTGGTTATGTTAAAAAAAATACTTGTAACAGTTCTTTCTTACCTATATATAAACATACTCACTTTTAAGTTGCCTGTATGGACATATTTTGCTGTCGGTCTAGAAGGAAAATCATTAGCAAGTAGTCATTGCTGTATTACATTAATATAAAGACTAAATGGTAAATGTCTTTAGTGTGGAATAGATGATTTCATCTTTTTGGTTATTTAATGCCTTTTTTGAGGTACTCTATTACATGGGTATATCCAGTAGCTTATGGCAATAATTAAGTTATCCTGATGATAACGCCTAATATTTTTACAGTGGATTCCATCTGGCTTGATCTGGAATAATCTAAAAAGTAATAGGTGTACAAGGTATAACTATAAAGTAAGGAAAGCAATTTTTTGACAAATGTACCAGAACTTATACCTCCAAATGAATACCATCCCTATTCAAATTAACAAATGTTACCTTGGCAAGCTAAACACTCGTTTCAACAATGTTGCCATTGCTCAAAGCATTTTTGGAATGCCTCTTTGGGGATTGGCTTTGGAGTATGTGGCATGTCCTTTTGAATACCCTAATTGGTGACAAATCATCACCATCTCAGAGTCAATCTGATTTGGGGAAACAGCCAATAGTAATTCAAAGCCAATTTTCATGAATAATATGGGTGGCCAAGGTGGGTTATACCAATTTAAAAGGTGCAACAAGTAACAAGAGTGGATTGCTTATATAACTCTGAAGGCAGTGCCAAAAAAAGGGAATTCCAAAAGGGCTTTGAGAAATGGCAGCTTGGTTGAGATAAATTCACAGTTCTCCAAAGTGATTGCTTTCAAGAACAACATGAATCGACACCTAAATTCATCAGTTTTCGTGGTGATGGTTAAAAATTCAGTTTCATAATTTTATAGCCACACACATATGTGTATATGAACACACACACATAAATTATATATGCATATATATATCATATATATACATACTCTAATATTTAAATAGCATAACTATGTGCCAGGTACTGTACTAAATGCTTTATAATTATTATCTCATTTGATCCTCCCAACTACCCTACAAGGTAAGTGTTATTATTATCCCCATTTTACAGATGAGGAAACTGAAGCATATAGAGGTTAAGTAACTTGCCCAGGATCATACAGCTAGTAAGTGTCTGAGGTCAGATTTGACCTCAGGTCTTCCTGACTCAGGCCCAGCACTCTATCCACTGTGCCATTTAGCCATGTACATACATACATACGTACATACATACATACATACATACCTATGGTGTTTAGAATTGTTGGTTTATGTCAAATCATTGTGACACAATTGACAGAAAATATAAAGTTTTGGGGACAGGGTTAAAGTGGTGTCTGAAAAAGGAGTTGTTTTTTTTTTTAATACAATTGACCTCTAATTCCAACTTTAAAGAGTCTTCTCCTTACAAAGAAGTTGTTTTTCAAAAATTTGTAGTACGGTTGTTTGGAATTTGGAATTCATTCTCCCATAGATACCATTGGTTAAACATAAACATAAACACTGAAATTTGTTTAGTACAAGTTTTTTTTTTTAATGCTTAACATATATTTTTTTTCCTTTTATTTTCACAACAACCCCCTCAGGTATGTGCTGCAAATATGACTAACGTCCATTTTATAGGTAAGGAAACCAATTATATGATTGACTTGCCCATAAGGCAGTGTGTTATTGTGGAAAGATTACCAGACTTGGACCTGAATTCAAATACCACCTCTGACATTTACTAGAAGTGTGAACAAGGACAAATCACAATTTCTCTTAGTTTCACTTTCCTTATCTGTGGTGGATTGCTGTAAGGCTCAAATGAGATTTTATACACACATACATATACAGAAAGATAAATAATATTCAAAATAACTACAAAATCCATAAAATATCTAAGAATTAAACAACCAATACACATTCACAATTTGTAGAAATACAATTACAAAATGGTCTTTATAGGAACAAAAGAAGACAAATAGGAGAGAGATACATCGTTTACAATTGCTAGGGTTAATATGATAAAAAATATTATGTTACTAAATTTGTCATCATATTTAGTTCTATACCAATCAAACTGACAAGGCCTACTTCGTAGAATTAGACAAAATAATAGCAAAATTTGTCTGGAGGAGTAAAAGTTCAAGAATCTCAAGGGATGAAGGAAAGACCTAGCATCATCAGATTTCAAAATATATTACAAAACAATGATCATCAAAACTATTAGTGGAGGAGACTTAAATCAAACCTAGAAACAACTAAATATAGCAAACAAATTTTCTGTAAATCCAAGGAATGAAATAATTCGGGGAAGAACTTTCTATTCACCCAGAACTATTGAGAAAACTGTAAAGCAGTTTGGCAGAAATTAGTCTTAGACCAGCATTTTAAACCATGTACTCAAATAAGCTCCAAATGGATGGGACTTTACTTTGCAAGGATGCAGGTGGGCAACAAGACACATGTTCTAACAGAAATGGTCAATGTATCACTTTATTTTGCTTAACTGTACTTCATTGTTACAAAAGAGGTTTCTGTTGTGGCTAGGGTATTGAAAAATGATAATGATGGAAAATCAATTAAAACATTAATAAATAAAATTACCATGGAGATTGATTGCATTCATTCTCTAGTTTTTGTTTTTTTCCAGGTCTACTTCAAACTTATGGCTTTTATTTTCCTTGATATAGATATGATGGGTACTTAGCAGTACTCTTAATAATAACATTTTATGTTGAGATAGTGCTTCATAGTTCTCAAAGAGCTTTTATAAATATCAATATAACAGTTATAGAAATTCTGTGTGGTAGGAAGTAAAGACATCATAATCCCCACTTTACAACTGAAGGAAATGAGTTTGAGAGGGACCACAATGAAGGAAGTAGGACTAGAACCCAGTTCTCTTGGCATTCCTACCAATCATCATCCAGGAACCTCTGAAAACAAGGGAGTATTTCCAACACTTCAGAGATGGGATTGTTCCCTTGCACAAAAGGAAAAGTGAAATATTCTTTTATTTATGAATAAATGAGTTTTATTAAGTACTTACTATGTGCCTGGCATTTTTCTAGATGTTGGAGATAAAAACACCAAGAATAAAATGATTCTTACTCTTAAAGAACTTAATCTAATAGGGAGTGAGGAGGAGGGGAGACAAGTATATTATGCCATATAAATATATACAAAATAAAATATAGATATTCTAAACACAAAGTTAAATATAAAGCAGTCTAGACAGAAGGTGGTAGAGATGGCTTTAACTCTGGCATTCTATTATGGTTTGATCTTGGGATAAAATGAGGCACTCATGAGTCATTGAGAAATTCATACAAGGTTTACTTTGCCCTAACAGAGCAAGGTTGACCAACTAGGATGCAGCAGCTCTTGTGTCCTTGTAGCATTCTCTAGACACAGTCTCCCTCATCTCTATTAGCAGGGCAAGATATGATGATTTGTGTGGTCTTTGGAAATCAGCCAAACCCAGAGGCCCTGACTCCACATAGGTGGGATCTGCCTTGCTCTTAGGTGACAAGGAAGCTGTATCAAGAGAGAGAGGGTCCAATCAAATAGTGATAGTCTTATTGCATTTCAGGGAAAACTAATCCATGTTGCCATGAAACTGGCAAACCCTGATTTACCACAGGGCACTAACAATTAGAAGGATGAAGAAATACTTTCAATTGGAAGGTGGCACTTGACCATGAAGGAAGAGAGGGAGTCTATGTGGCAGAGGTGAAGGAGGGAGTACATTCCAAATATGGGGACAACCAGTATGAAGGTACAAAGATGGTGTATTATGGCACCACCATCTAGATGCAGAGTTGGATGAGTTTATCACCCTTCCCCCTACCAACTGCAGCTGCCTGTAAAGAATATCCTCTAAAAAATCTCTTTTTTATACATAAGCAGGGGTATACTAGAAATAGTTCAAACTAGCTGACAGGAGCCAATTATTAAATTTTTGGTGTGAGCATTTTGTATCTCAGGAATTGGAAATGGTACCAATCAGTGTTTGATTTATTTTGTTCATTGTCTAGACTTAAAGTGTTAATGATGTTGATTAAACTAAGTGTTTTGTAAGGACTTTTGGGGGGAAGGGGGGGAAGGGGGGAAAAGGGTTATTAAACACAGCACACCCCTGTACAAATGTACTGGAGGAGAGTCAGGATTGTAGGCTGGAGAGAAAGGAAAATGTGGATGAGTGGCCTGGGTGTCCTCTTTAAAATGGAGATTCTGGGGGGGTGGAGC